TGATTCATTCACTGCATCATTATATAATTCGTTGTTATATACAGAGCAAGCGCTTGACATAATGCAGATCAGTGATAGGAGAATCACAGGCGACCTCCACGACGCCATTCACCTCAAATAGATCTGTGGCACAAGTGCAGCTAGGTTGATTTCCAGGCAAAAACTGCGCATTCCGCTATTTTTCGCTCAATCCTCACGAATATCTTTAGTGCATTTTACTTCGACGGTGTTCCACACAGTCAAAGTTAAAAGCATACAGAACTTAGGCACTCGACATGAGTCACTAACCGGTCATCGTCATCCTTCGATTTGAAACCACATTTCTTGTGCACGAAATCTAAAACATACTCTCATGTGAGTTCTCAGAAGATCTCAACTGGGCGCTTAACGAAATGCGCGATTTCTAAAGGCTTTTTACCAAAATCAATTCATTCCGTACTCTCAAGTGTTTTTGCAAAGCCAGGTTTGTATACGAAGTCTGACATACAACAAGTATCAGATGATGAAAGAAGAAATCGTTGACGGATTCAACGAACCAACGTTTATGTACTCAATCTCAGCATTTCCAGAACGACAATAGCTTAGTCAAAAACAACAATGCTGACGATGTATCAAGTTACACTAGCACACAAATGCATCAACCTAAACTAATCTAACAATCGTGAATGGATTGGCCACGTAGATAGTAACTCAAGACCTCGGTAACCAATCCTTGCTATACTCTGCGTAGGGTTGGCAAACAGCACAGAAAAAAACGGTGGAATAAATATTACCGGAGCTCTACGGTAGCCGACAAAGGTATATAAGAACCTAATGCCTTTTGAGCAGATCTGTCTCGACCCAACTTACAAAGCCGAAGGGAAAGTTCTCATATTGACTATGAGAATAACGCATGAGTAAAGCAAGACGTCAAGGGATCATGAATACGAAAGTGAACCGCGCCTATGAATCAGTTAGAATATGGAGAGCTTGCCTCGGATAAACCAGAAGAACTCGTAAACATGCACCATTCGCAACTTGAAACGCGATAAATGATGACTTACGAGATGAGTGAGATGATGAATGTGAACGAGTGAATAACGGCATGAGTGACTGTTGATGGAATTAACTAATCGGTCAATGAACGCATGCGTGAATACACATATGAATGAACGGATGTATGAAGGAACGGATGTATGAATCAAACTGACTTTGAATACGTGAATGAAAAAACATAAAAATGAATGAAAAAATAAATGAAAAAACAAAGGAAAGTTTGCATCGCTGAAATGTCCTCCTGACAATTACGTGATGAGGATAATTCTAGCTTTCATGAAGTCAAAGTTGAAAGTGCTGGTTTTCATTACAGTTTCATCAGTCAAGAAGGACTTACTTTTAAAGGAAGAATCAGCAGTAGCTATTTCACAAGAACATTCCAAATTCTGCTGTTTCTTTCCCACTCATTTGTCAATTGGTACTCATTTATCAATCTCTAAAGGAAGAAACGCTTGCTGTTCCGAATAGGGATTGAACCTACGACCTCTCAGTTCCAAATCTGATGCTCAATCAAAAGAGTAAATGCTGGTCTGAAGCAACGTGAGATGAATTCTTTATTCAAGGAATTCATGGTTATTAATGTAAACATGAATTAATGTACGAACGGCATAAAAGTAACAAATTATGAGCGTATGAGTAAATGAGCTAAGAATGAATAAACAAATAGACGTATGAATGAATGATTCAACGAATGAAGTAATGACTGTATGAACGAATGAAAATATAAATAAGCTATAATATGAATGAACGTATGACTGAATCTACGTAGATCGAACAACTGTACAAGCGAGCGCATGGATGAGTTAGAGTATCACTGAATGAACGGAAGAATAAACGTATCAATGAATTAACGTATGAATATGTGAACCAACAAACGGATAAATAACAGAATAAAGCGATAGATGAATTGCCGCAATTACTTTATTAACGAACGAACATACGAACGAAAGACATTCGATTCGAGTTTGAATGAATGAATGAAGGAAGGAAGAATGAAAGAAAGGAAGCAATGGAACGAATAAAATGAATGAAAGAATGAATGAACACAAATTTTGTGTATTAAAAGCAACGCCTGAGAGTTTCAACGGCCTGTACACTAATTGCCTGAACCCAACAACTCGTTCTGAAGAAGTATTCTGATCAGCTTCATTGGATACTGATAGTGCATTTAATATCATATGACACTTTACCAATGGAAAACTCAAAAAAGGACACTGGTTACTAAGGAAAATATTCTTCAAAATACGACATTCAATATCAACGAAAAAACATAGTTTCTTAGTTATAACAGATTAAGGGGCGGTTAAAAGACTGAAAAAATGCATTTAACAAGCGAAATTTTCGGAACCAACAACGATTTTCCTTGTGTTTTGGTAAACTTTGTGAAGAACTGATGAAGATGAAGAAGATGAAGTGTTGATGAAGAACACCGCGGTGAGTTTCGAACCAGGCTTA